GGATGAAGCCGGGAACCGGTGCAATTCCCTGGCCCGGGGCTCAGGCTTCCTTTCCCAGCCACCCTGCTTCTTTGGCGCACTTACTACATCCCTTGGGGATGTCAGACTACTGGTCTGACATCCCCTGAAGGGTCCCTGGTTATGAAAGGGCTCAGGCCAGGCTGAGGGACCCCACCCGGTGCATGGATCCATGCACTGAGCCTCTAGTACTTATATAAATATCTATTTGAAAAAGACTGGAAAGAAGTATAACAATGGTTCTTCGTTAGTAGTGTAATTGTGAGAAATTGAGTTAAGAATACTTAAAAAACATATTTTTTTGATACATCCCATGTTTTAGGCACTATATTAAATTCTTCATGTGTGTTTTCTCAGGGAACTCTCCCATGAATCCCGTGATATAGTTACTACTCATTTTTCAGATGAAACTGAGGCCTAAGAAAGATTAACTTATCTAGGTTTATACAACCAATAAATAGAAGAGTTAAAACCTTTATGTTATATTCTTTTTTGTTGTTGTTGTTGTTAATCATCACCCGAGGATATTTCTCCATTGATTTTTAGAAAGAGTGGAAGGGAGGGAGAGAGACAGAGAGAGAAATAGCAATGTGAGAGAGACATGTCAATTGGTTGCCTCCCACACAAGCCCCAAACAGGCCTGGGGATCAAGACTCGCATCAAGGTACGTGCCCTTGACCGGAATTGAACCCGGGACTCTTCAGTCCAAGAACCGATGCTCTATCCACTGAGCCAAACAGGCTAGGGCTTTATATTCTTTATGTTTTGTATTTCTAAACTTTTTATAATTTGTATTATTTACCTGATCAAAAACAAAATTAATTTTTAAATTATGATGCAAACATTGGGGCCTACAATAAGTCAGGCTTGTAGAATCTGGTAGGATTTATTCATTTGAACTGTTGATTCCCTGAACTAGCCATTAAAATAACAGAAACATGGGACTTGAAAGAAATTCAACGAAGCATTTAAAAAGTTACAATAGCCCTGGCCGGTGTGGCTCAGTTGATTGGAGCGTCATCCCATGCACCAGAAGGTCAGAGGTTCAGTTCCTAGTCAGAGCACATACCTAGGTTGTGGGTTCCACCTCTAGTCGGACGTATCTCTAGTCAGACGTATGTATCTCTCTCACATCGGTGTATCTATCTCTCTCTCTCTCTCTCTCTCTCTCTTCCCCCCCTCCTCGCTTCCCCTTCTTCCCTCTCTAAAATCAATAAAAAAATAAGTAAAAAAAAAAAGTTACAATAGACTCAGTGCACTGTTTCTATTCTACCGAGGATTTCTTTTTACTATCTAGGGAACTGATTTTTTTTCTAGCATGGGTTGCAGGTAGTAGTACTCTTTAGTGAAATGAAATCTGATATATGTTACAGGTTAGTTAACATATAAGGCTGGGAATTTTTACGATTTTTTAAAGTTGTTTGCTAGCAGTTGTTGTGGTGGTGGTTGCTAGTAGTCCCTTTTGTCTTGTTGGATCCAATGAAGTAGATGTGGCCAAATGCCCAAAGGAAAAGCTGTGTGTGTGTGTGAATATGTGGAATGTCTCCATGGGCATGGTAGAAGGATTTTTCTAATATAAGTGTCTATCTGTCGTTGACAAATGTATTTAATGAAGTTAGAGATATTCAGTGAGCATCTATAATCTTCGAGGATAACATTGATCAAAGAAGGCAACTAATGTTTACCTATAATTATCTTTGTCAAAGAGTGACTGGTAGGCTAAAGAGATCATGGATTGACCCCACAACGTATTTTACATATTCTTATGCTACGAGAATTTTGACTTCTCATATATCTTTTAACTTGAGGAATTTGTGTTATAGCAGGAAAACACATCTACTGTAAACCTTTGTCTAAATAACTATTAGAGAATTTTTCCTCTGGCAGGAAGTTAGTTTGAGGAACACAACACATGGGGATTAAGGAAGAAAGTGCCCACCTAGTCATTTCTGTTACATTAAATGGACCTTGTTAGTAGAGGGGCAGACTCCTGTTAGTGAATCAGTGAATATGTGTGTGACACATACACACGCACAAACACACCAATACTTTATCTGGAGCATTGGGTCAATCGAAAGAAGAGACTGCAACAATTTAAGTAAATACATAGGCTACTAAGAACACAGAAAAGGAATGAATAAAACTGTTTCTCTCACTGAAGAAAACGGGGAACATTTTTTTTTTTATAACTAAAGAACATTTATTTGTTTTTCACTAAGACTTTATCTTAGCACATAATTAAACTGTCACTACCCCCACCCCAACTTGAAGAAGGGTTAGTACAGTGAATGTTATAAAGCAGATATGAAGGATTGGAATCAACCTTAACTGACAAAGAAAAACTTCTTAGTTAAGTCATCATAACCATGTTTAAGTAAAAAAAGAGAAAAAAGGGGGGTGATGGGAGTTCAGATTGAACAAGATCCTCACATATCATCTAACACATTCAATCCTGGCTAGAGTGTACCAAAATGGAAACAGGATTACTATAATACAAAACTTCACTACAGACAGCTGTACACACCTGTGTTCCAAGCCCACCCCCAACCCCCAAATGCTTCCAACACAACTATTTCCCGGCCTGTTGGGCCTGTCGACGAAGGAGCACGTAGATCTTCTCTTTAATCCAATCTTTGTTATAAGGCTGGTATGTCTGGGTATCAGCTCGGTAAACAAGACAGCTGAGGTCCGCCAGATCATCAATAAAATCAAACAACTGGCTTATATCATATGTGATAGAGGGGCTGTTGGGATTCATTCTCTTCAGATGTTCTTCATACATTTTACAAACGCCTTCCATGCACTCATTCACCGATTCATAATCAGCATAAGTTCTGCCTTCTGGTCTCTTGGTAGGCTGGACCAGCAAAATGGTGTGAGACATCGCGCCAAACTCTTTCGCTGCAGCCGCCGCCGACACACCGCCACACACGACACACCGCCACACCGCCAACAGCCAACCGAAAACGGGGAACATTTTAAAGATGTAGCTCTTTTCAACCTTTTCACCTTTTTAAAATAATTTAAACTTTTCTATATTATTCTGTCGACTGATCTGGGTAATCCTGTTCCTTTCAGCCATAAAGCTTATTGCAATCAAGTGTAATATAAGGAATTTCTTTTGCTGGCTCTGTCCCTTCATTGTCCCCCATCCTGGGAAATCCCTCAGTACTAGACAGAAAGGCACTCTAGGGGTGGGAGTGTCAGGGAGGAAACGGATGGGAATGTGAAGTCCTGAAATCTAAAGAGAAGGTTTCTTCCTGTTGAAGAACGTTCACTGCAGCTAAGAGATTAGTAACGTCAGTAACCCAGTAACTGTGCTTAGTGGTGACTTAGAGATTAGTATTAAATGGATCCCTGTTTTTCATCCTGCATTCTCCAGATAAGTTGGAAATAAGACGGATGCCATAATGATTTTGAGCCCTCCTTGATCATAGAAGGACCTTTTACCTGCAGCGGGTTTTAGTTCCAAGGACACACTTTTTCCTGGTCTGGGTAACCTTATTTTAGCAAGTGGAGATATGAACATTTTAACTTTCAGATTTTACTTGCCTTTGTGCAATTACAGACTACTTGAAACATTATTTGTCTATATCTATAGTTACTACTTAGAGTAAGACTTCCTGTAACATACTTGGCAGACTAATTTTGGGTTTTACTTTGCCTTGCTGTCTTTCTCCCCTTAGTCTTGTTCTTCATTTCTTATCTTCCAGAGAGGTGTGGGAAATGGAACTGGATAGACTGAAGAATCAGGATGGTGAAATAAATCAGAACATTATGGAAGAGACAGAACGGGCCTGGAAGGCAGAGGTGAGAAGAGTTGCTATATTGAAGGCTTTGATTTTGGGCTTCCCGATGGTAAATCCTTTTGATATAGTATTAACCAGTAAGCCATGTAAGTAATCAAGTATGTGTGTGTGGTTTTCCTAGATCTTATCACTAGAGAGTCGGAAAGAATTGCTGGTGTTGAAGCTAGAAGAAGCCGAAAAAGAGGCAGAGCTGCACCTTACTTACCTCAAGTAGGTATCGTCCCATTCTAGAATGTTAGTGGTCCTGCAGTGTTGTGGATTTTGTTTTGATTTCTTTAGGGTTTGAAACCCTAGGCCAGCTAGTCTGGCACTTGCTGTATCATCACGGGAATTTCAAGGTCATCCCTGTCTGTGCAGTAGTAATTGTTCCGTGATTTCTCTTCCTGTATCCTAACTTCTGCATTCTCTAATTCTTCCTCTCTGCAGTCTTCTCGTTTTGTGTTTTCTATTGTATTATTCCCAGTTGTATAAACAGTATCTTTTATGCTATGGAAGCATATCAAATATCCTTGGCGATTTGTTTCTTATGTAGTCATTTCTCTTCTTGCCATGGAATCTGCAGGACCCTGTGGCCTTCTCAGGCAGATAAGACCCCTGTCTCAGTGGTTGGTTCTCTTTCTCCAATACTTGGCTTAAAAGATGCTGGAGATAAAGTGAGGCACACGACCTATATCCCTGGCCTTCTCTTCCATCTGGTTCGACTCTTCTCTCTGGTCCATTGGCCATTCCTTTTAGGCTATCTCAGAGCGTTGAGAGTTAGGTTTTCTTTAATTCTGTAAATTCCTGTTGGTTTCTTGAAAGGTCAACTCCCCCAACACTAGACACAGTTCGTTCCAAACAGGAGTGGGAGACAAGACTGAATGGAGTTCGGATGATGAAAAAGAATGTTCGGGTAAGTGTAGTAATGGGGAGCATTGAGTCTGAGTTAGGCTGTGCTTAAGCTGGTGAGGGGCAGGGACCTTCTGCTTTGTCACGAGAGCTTATCTACCGCTCCCTCTGTTTTCTTCAGACTGGATGGTGGGTGCTTCTTTCTAGGGAGGCTCACTCAGCTCAGCAGTGAAGGGTCATCCCTTCCTTTCCTCCTTTCTAGGACCAGTTTAATAGTCACATCCAGCTAGTGCGGAATGGGGCCAAGCTGAGCAGCCTTCCTCAGATCCCTACTCCCACTCTGCCTCCGCCCCCGTCCGAGGTAAGAATGCAAGTTTTGGGTAGTCAGGCTTTCTGTGACAAAACCAGAGTCCTTCACTTGTTTTTGTAAAGAAGATACTGGGTATTGTTGGTTTTATTTGGTGTAAGAGTTGCTCATTGATTTCTCCCTTTCTCTTGCATCCTCCACCTCTTCCCCTCTGCAGACAGACTTCATGCTTCAGGTGTTTCAGCCCAATCCCTCTTTGGTTCCTCGGATGCCCTTCTCCATTGGGCAGGTCACAATGCCCATGGTTATGCCCAGTGCAGATCCCCGTTCCTTGTCTTTCCCAATCCTGAACCCTGCCCTTTCCCAGCCCAACCAGCCTTCCCCACCCATTCCTGGCTCCCATGGGAGAAATAGCCCTGGCTTGGGTTCCCTTGTTGGCTCCCATGGTCCACACATGCCCCCTGCCGCCTCCATCCCGCCTCCCCCAGGCTTGGGCGGTGTTAAGGCTTCTACTGAAACTCCCCGGCCCCAACCAGTAGACAAACTAGAGAAGATCCTGGAAAAACTGCTGGCTCGGTTCCCACAATGCAATAAGTAAGTGTCTTTAAGGACTAATAAAAATTTGTCAGAGGGGCATAGGAGAGGTTTTATGGATATTCCCTACGAGTATCACATAAAATATCTCCCCCTTTTTTAGGGCCCAGATGACCAACATTCTTCAGCAAATCAAGACGGCACGTACCACCATGGCAGGCCTGACCATGGAGGAACTGATCCAGCTGGTAGCTGCACGACTGGCAGAACATGAGCGAGTGGCAGCAAGTACTCAGGTAAGACAAGGTAGTGGGGGAAGAGTGCAGACCTGCTGAGATGTTGAGGAAGAGGCAGTTTTGAGAAAAACTTGGGGAGGGAAGCATTTGCTGCAGCCAGGAGTGCCTAGTCTGCTTTCTTCCTTTGCTGGGCTGGGAGCTAAGTGATTTCTTTAGTTACATGCTCTGTGACTCAGACTCTTTCCTTACTCTCACAATGTTTCTCCCACAGCCACTCGGTCGGATCCGGGCCTTGTTCCCTGCTCCATTAGCCCAAATCAATACCCCAATGTTCTTGCCTTCTGCACAAGTTTCATATCCTGGAAGGTCTTCACATGTAAGACTCATTTTCTCTAAAAACTAGGATGTAAAGGTGGGGAGTGATGTCAGTGGGAGTGGCTGGTTTACAGATGGAGGGTAGGAGGAAACCATTTCTCATCAGCCGGGTTGTTGGCAGCCACAACTGGGAAAATGTAAGTACTTTTGGCAAGAATCTGTATTTGAACTTTTACTTCTTCTGGTGTAAAATCTTTTTGTTGAATGGAAACACTAGGTGGAGTCATGGGCATGAAAGGGAAGGAGACCCAGAGGTTTCTTATTGTCTTACCCTTTGCCCGTCCTCCTCTGTTCTGCAGGCTCCAGCCACCTGTAAGCTGTGTCTCATGTGCCAGAAGCTGGTCCAGCCCAGCGAGCTGCATCCAATGGCATGTACCCACGTGTTACATAAGGAGGTGGGTGCTACATTCCTTCCCCATTTCCAACTCTTTATTTACTGACAACTGAGAATTTCTCTTGCACATTTTAGTGTTGATGCTCAGCATTAATATCTAAACATATTGCCCTGGCCAGTGTGCCAAGTGGTTAGAGCCTCAGCCCGTGCCTTCAACCCCCACTCCCTCCCGGGTCTGGGCATGTAGAAATATCCTCAGGTGAGAATTAACAAAACAAAACCTAAACATAAGGTTTTTAGTAACTTGTGGCTTAAACATCAGCAGAATTTAGAATACTGCAGCTGGGATCTTCCAGCTTCCTTTTACCCTGTTCCCTTAGGAGACTTGATAAGCAGTTCGTACCAGAGCTCTGAAAGGTCACTTTCTTGAAAAACTGACAATAAGATATACATATCTAACTGTTGTTTCAAATATAGCATTGTCAGAAGATTGCTTAGATGAGAGAAATGGAATAAAGAGCCTGGGTATGAAATTAGTAACTCCATTAACAGAATTGAAGTCTATTAGAGATTATCTTTCCACACTGACAATCATTCCCATCACTTACTGTTACCAAGCAGAGTTAATAGCAGCAAGGATGATTCCTTTTTTACTATATTTTGTTCATTGTGTTTTAACAGTAGGTAGAAACTGAATTTACATCTAAGTTCTTGGTAAGGGAAAATCCTGAATAAGATTTTAGGTGATGTGTATTAGCAGATGGAAGTTCATCTAAGCCTGAATGGATCATTAGAAGGAACAAGCCTGGATATTCAACAAAAAGCAGCTGCACACTGTTATTAGCAGGTTGTTAATGTTCCCTATGAAAGGACAGGTCCACCTCTGAAGATTCTTTTGGAGGTGACTTAGTAAATAGTCCTTAGACCCATTGAACCGTAATAGCACTCCTTCCCTCCCTCCCTCCATCTTTCCAGATAAACCTGAGGTGTGTCTTTCTTTATTTCCAGTGCATCAAATTCTGGGCCCAGACCAACACAAATGACACTTGTCCCTTTTGCCCAACTCTTAAGTGATGGACCTGATTGGGGAGGAAGAAGAGAAGCTGATGTGAACAGGAAGCGCGGGTTCAAGATTTCTAAAACTCTATATTTATACAGTGACATATACTCATGCCATGTACATTTTTATTATATAGGAAATGTGTGTATAGAAAGTCTGTATTCAAATGTTCGTAATGAAAGTATGTATATTATGCAAAAATGGTCTGTCCCCCTCAGCTTGCAATTCCTTTAGGGGGATGCAGATTGTAGCTAAGATGATATTTAGTTTGGCCTTGAAATTATGATATTCCTGCCTAAGGCTGTTTTCAAATACAATATAAAAACCATTAGGAAGCTGCTGTGGCTCTAAGGCTATCCTGCTTTGATTTGGCTCAACCACTAGTCCATTTCCTAAGGTTCATGGGTGCAGATTTGAACCTTGGTGCTCACCCTCTGTCCGGCGGCTGCCTTGACTACGGAAAGCCTTTGGAAGCCTTGGTGTCCTAGCAACTCTCCAAACGGATGAAATGAGACTGATTGAGAAAAAAAATGTAAACCTAAGAGTTTGACTTTTCACTGAGTATTTTACTGTGTTAATGCTTATGTTTTGTACATAGGCTTTAGGTTTACAGAATATTCTGTTTTACAACAGCAAAATTCACAGTCCAAGAGTAACAGCATAACCAGGTCCGAGTTCCCCACGCCCTCACTTCTGTTCACCCCACTTCCTCGGTAGTCGTCTCTTCAGAAACTAGCACCATCTGAAGGTCTGCTCCGGAAGCCACCCCTTGCCACCACCGGCGTGGCCGGCCTTACAGAGGCCTCCCTCTTCCCTTCCCTCTGGTCTTCTTGTCTGGCTAACCCTCCCCCTGAAGGCTAGGCAGTCGTTCACAGCCAAGTTGTTTGGTGACCTGGATGCGCTCCAGGCAGGCACAGTTGAGGAGAGATGTCTGTGCAAAATTATTTTCAGAATGATCTTGAGATGCTGGGCTTTCATTCTTGAAGCAAGAGAGCTATGGGGGACACGTGTTCTGCCCCGGGGAAGATGGAGACCCCAGTGCTGGGAAGGGAGGTGGGTTTGAGGTTGAGAAGTCATGTGTTCTCTGGGTAGCCACCCAGAACCAGATCAGTGTTCCCCTCTGCCACTGAGCTTTTCTGGGGCTCTGTTAGAGCTTTCGCATCCTCTTACCTTTACTCTTACCAGAAGTGGCTTCAGCACTCTTCTCTGTGGAATTAAACAACTAAAAACGAAGTGTTAATTTTTTTAAGAATAGCTCCAGGGGAAGGAGATTAATATATCACCAACAGCTGAATTTTTTCATTTCTGGGACCTGGAAATGCTCGCTCGCACTAGCAGTGCACTAGGGTAGCAAAGACTTTTCCTTGCATGTCCATCTAAATTCTCTCCTCTCCGTTTCTGCTACTCTTTTCCTTCTTTGTTTCATCCTTGCCTGTCAGCTCATGGACATACTCTTTCTCTTCTCCTACTGCCCCGGTTTGTTAACTGGCATTAGTGTGAGGAGCTAGATCTCCCAAGAGCTCCTTGGCATCTTCTAAGGTCACTGAGATGGCCTGCATACGCCCCTCTGCAGAGGTCAGATACCTACTTGCCTTGGTTGATGGGACTTGCATGACTCCAGTGCGGTAGCTGTTGGGGTAAGGGAAGGCGCCAATGGAAGACTAGCTCCTTTGTTCTTTCCCTGGGGGGGGGGGGGGGGGGGGGCGGAGTCATTTTCATCTTGTTATCTTAATATCTTATTTCCCTTCAACTTTTCAGCAGCCCATGGCCACCTGCAGTGCTTTTCAGGAGGTATAAAGAATATTCTGTTCCTTTTCCACAAATCTTTGAAGCCAAAGGAGGAAGTAAGGGGCTTAACTGCTTCCTGGTAGAAACCTGGGAAGCCATCTGTAGCTGGAAGACAGTGTGGGGAGAGGCGTGCATGGACCTGGGGCCGCATCGCTGCTCTCTTCTTAGTCAGGGTCGGTCAGAAAGCAGCCCTGAGTCTGGGCCAGCCTCGTTCTCCCTCTGTCCCTTGGCCTGCAATGCTAAAGCCATGCACACCAACAGGAAAGGGCCTAGTGCAGTGAAGAGAGATGGGACAGTCATTTTTCTGGAATAGATTTAAAAATAGAGATATAGAATACATATTTTACAAGCAAGAAGCTGTTGTCAAAGCAAATTTTTTTTTACACTTAGAGTTTGTAGTTCCAGGATAGAAAGGAAGTTACTCTTAAAAGAGAGCCCAAGTTTTCTCTGAAAGGAAAAGAGGACAGTGGGGCTTCCTAATGAAGGGGCTGACTTGTGTGCCCTGGGAAGAACTGGGGAAAGCCAGTTTTCCCAACATGGGTAGAAATTATAAAGCAGAATGCGGCATTTTTATTTCACGGTAACAATTCTGGAAGTTTATTTACACAGTAAGTTCCGAGCTGGAAGCGGACAGTCTCCAGTCTTCCTGTCAGTCTGTGTGGTTCTGGGGTCTTCCTGTCAGCCAAGCAGCACCAGGTGCAGGGGAGTGAAGAGAGTCCAGATAGAAACTACGACTCGGTGTTGTTGATTTATTGTGTATGGCTTGTGGCAGCTGGCTGAAGCCAGGATTCCAGGGGCCCTCCCTATAGTTCCCTCTCCCTCAGGTAATTCACACTCAGCAGGCCCCTTACCTGGAAGCAGGGTGCAGACCACAGAGGAATGAGGCCCAGTGGGTATACCGGGAAAATTTGCTCTTTCCACTAACACAGGTATCATAGTTGATTGTGTTAGAACGGATAGGAAATGAACTTCGTCCCCAGTACTTAGCGCAAGAACTAGCCTGGATACCCAAGTACTATTAGGAGTGGGGAGTAGAGAGCAGGACAGGAAAAAAGGAAATTGAGGGGCTCTTGTGGAAAAGGAAGGAAGTCGAGGCCCCATCCTTTCTCCAGGCAGCCTGGACACTGAAGGTGACGGTGCTATAGTCAGCGAGCCCTATGTTCTGGCATTCTGGCTCCAATACTTGTGCCACTGGGGATGCCTTAGCCAAATACGTGGCGGCTGAGACCTAGGGTGAGAAGGCAATGAAACGGCTCTGTGTTGTGTAAAGATCTTACAGCTGAACAGGAAGAACTCCAGGCGGGTGAAGGGCATCACCCCTGTGCCTGTGAAATGAATCTTCAGGATTCCGCTTTCGAGGATTATTAGGTAGGAGAGTGCTCCTGTCTATTCTTCTTAGCACCTCAGCTGCAGAGCTCCAAGGTCTCGGGTTTGGGGGAGGGAGTGGAGAGGTGCCCAGGAAGACGAGGCCCAGCCCCGCTCAGTTGCTGTGTTCCCATTGCTTTCCCGGAGGACGCCTGGGGTTTGGGAGGGTTGGGACGTTACACGGCTACCGAGCGTTTGTAGAGCAAAGCGTCCAGGTAGAGACAAGTGGAATCAATAAGGTAGAAATTCATTTGTTAGATGGAACTTCTTAGTGGACACTTTTAATTTAAGAGCTAAAAAGAGCTTTTTGGCAAATAAGCCCTTCTTCCCACCTCCCTTTTGATAGGCTGCAAACACAGCAAAGAAAACTCCGGGAAGCAACACCTGTTTACGAGAGGGTTCTGTCTTGGAGGTGAAGCCTAAAACGGGAGCTGGCGGTGTCCTTTCTACCTCTCCTGCTTCCATCCCAGTGTCCCCTGTCTTCACACTCCCTCTCTTCCTCTTCCAACCATTTGTACAAACATTCGGTCAGGTTATTTTTTTGTTTAATTCAAGAGGCAGTCTTTGCACCAATGTTAAGCTCATTGATACAGTTCCTATCTCTAAAGCAAAAGCTAACTGTGCATTTGCTCCTACTGCCTTGGGCCAGCAGGGAAGCAAGGCTGGGCCCTGTAGACACCCCGGGGTGACCGGTGGGATGCCCCCACTCTGGAACTAAGGAAAGAGGAATGCTTTGGGCTGGAGGGTTGGAAGGGATGGTAGGCAAAGATCAGGGCTGAAGTTTCAAGCAGCAGAATTTCCCAACTCAAGTTTGAGGTGACATATTCCTGCCACCAGAGCGTGTCTCTTCCCTGTCCTGTTTTCTGCAGGTGCAGTCCCTGCAACCCACCTTGCCAGCTCCTCCTCCTCTGTCAAGCAGAGGCATTTGGGGGGTGGGTAAGGGTCCTGAGGTGCTCTGGCCACAGGTGCCATCTCTTTCTTTGTGACCAAGTCGAACCAACCACCCAGATGGTCCAGGGGATGCTCTGTCTTCTGCTCATGGGCCTCCTCACTTCAGCAGGGAGATGTCATCAGCAAAGTCATCGTGCTGGTGGCGCAGGCAGCGGAGGCAGCGCCACTGGCACACCATGAGGCAGAGTGGCAGCATGAAGAGGGCGCAGATGGCGGCCATGACGTAGGCTATGGTCATGAGGGTTGACTCGTCTGTCTGTGGGATGTTGTAGCCACAGTCCATCATGTCCAGGGTGACAAACGGGCCTTCCACCGCCGCCGTCCTGAACTCGTCGTGCACTGGAGAAAGGGCAGATGTGAGCAGGCAGTTCAGTGTCACACTGCAGTTTGGATTATGCAAGAAAAAGACTTCCCGACCGGGCCTTGAAATTGGCCCCGAGGAGGCTGTAGAAAGCAGTGCCAGGTGGAGGCACATCTCCTCCAGGCCACAGAGAACAGCGACCTTTTGTTTGTTAATCCTCACTCGATATTTTTCCATTATTTTTTTTAGAGAGAGGAGAAGGGGGAGGGAGAGAGAAACATTGATGTGAGACACGTCAATTAGCTGCCTCCCACACATGCCCTGGCTGGGGCTGGGAATCGAACCCATGACCCTTTGGTGTATGGGCCAGTGCTCTAACCACTGAGCACCCTGGGCAGGGCACCCGCTACCATTCTGAAATGGCATTTAAGCTCCCCTCCGGCAGGTGGCAGGGACACTGTAGCCTGCTGCTCTTGAGCTCCTCCAGGTGCCTGACAGCTCTTGCTGCTCCTGGCGTCTAGCAGAAGCTCCCAAGCAGGCAGGGTCACCACGCCAGGCAGTGGGAAGCTTAGGCGCTGCCTCTGGCTTTGGCACAACCTGTTGACTCTGGCTCGAGGCAACTGTTCCTCCCTCCCAGACTGGCGGGGCCCAGATCTGCTGCCTGCTGGACAGGGGGGACATGGATAGACTGACCCGCACCCTGGCGCTCACCATGGCAAGCGCTGACAGCAAAGCCGATCCGCTTTCTCGCCCGATCAAAGACCACGTAGAAGCCCTCCATGACGACAGCTCCCAGGACGGTGCCCGTGGACGACTGGGAGACGGCGAACTTGTAGCAGTCGTCTTGGGATGTGGCCACATCCTCCACTGGCCGCAGGTATTGCTAAGGATAAGGAGTGAAAGCGTCAGAGTGTCTTCCTCGCTCCATCCTGCA